CGATGGAGTCCACATCTGTCCATGATGATAGCCTTGGCCCGTGCTCGGACTGAACCGAGGGTGTTGTCGGACTTGGACTGATCGTCGGTCAAATCATCGACTTTCCAGAAAACATATTGCTTGTTGGGGTCACGATACATACGTTTGGGTAGTCCCTCCTGGTAGTCCTCAATGGCGATCTCGTGCACCTCAGGTTCCAGATCAAATGAGATCCTGCGATCATCAGAAGACTTCTTTGCACTGGCTATCCTCGGTGAGGTATAACCCATGGAATCTTCATTGTCGCTATCAAAGAAGGAATCAATGGTAATGGGAGTCGCCTTCTTCTTTGGTGTCTTCTTGCTGGTTCTCTCTGAGGATGCTGAAGGCGATTTATCTGCATGTAGGAATTTACATTTGTTTCCGAACTTGCAGGTACCTTCTTGCCAATTCCAACATACCTTCTTTTTGGGTCCAGCTGAAGATGAACTTCCTCTACCTTTCCCTCTTGATGAATCTCGACTTCCGCTTCTGCCTTTCTTACCTTTCATCTTGGCATCATAGACCTTCTGAGAATGACTGTAAAGACATTTGTCACCTTTGTTGCATCCTCCTTTATTGAAGAAGTAGTTACAGAAAATCTTCTTCTTGTCAACGGGTGAAGATGATCTTCCCTTCCCACCTTTGCCTTTCTTGTTGTTCTTGTCGGCATGGGACTTCGGAGAAGGCGTAGGAAGTACCGATGCAGCTTCACTCTTCGCTTTCGCCTTAGGACGTTTGGGAGGATCACCTGTAGACGATGCAGCCGCTTCATTCTCCTTCTTGGTCTTGACGGGAGCGGCAGGCTTGTCTGCATCTTCTAAGGCAGGTGTCGTCTTGTTAGAGGACAATGACAGTTTCACTGCACGTTCTCTATCTTTCAACAGTCGTTCTTGCTTCCCTCGTGCTATGTATCCCTTGATCATACCAGTTAGGTAAGCATAGGTCTTCTCATGATGCCCTTCATCAAAGGTTTTGTATCGGTTGATATCGAAGGCCATAAGCTTTGAATGTTCAATCTTCCGGAACAATGTGTCACGCAGGGAATTGTTGGAAGGCAGATCATCATGTTTCATATTGTATACGATGTCAAGCCACTTGTTGTAGAAGGCCTCAAGTTGGTCATCTCCATAGTAGTTGAACATATACAAATGATGGGCATTGTAGAGAACTTCAGTGTGGTCAGGTGACTTGAAGCTAATCAATATCATTGCAAATAGTTCTCGTCCCTTGATGAAGTCCCCACTTCTCCCATACAATTGGTTCTTCATGGACATGTCATACTTCACTTGCATGGACTTGTCCCCAGCATTGTCAATGACTTTCCTCAAGGCATTGGAGAGCTTGGCATCAATGGATTGGAATCTCACATCAGGAGCTTTGGCCAGCGCCTCCAAGTCAGGTTGATCTGCAAGACACGGAGCTAACCACGCCTTCCAATCTTCATAGTTTCGATCTCCACTTGCAACGCAAACTTCATGAACGACACTTCCCTTCCAGGATGAAAGTTCGTGGTCTTAGGCCAGGGTTGGAGGCTGATCTTTTCGGCTTCTCTTAGAGATACAGATGACTTGGATCTATCCCTTTCAAGGTTCTCCAACTCCTTGACATTTGTGTTGTACTCGTTCCTGAGCTTCTCGAAGGCTTCAGCTTCTGCTCGGTATTCCTGCTCTTCATCATTGGCACGATCTTCAGCTTGAGAGAAATTGTTCTTATAGTAATCTTTACGATCTTCCATCTTCTTCAACTCATCTTGAAGATTTCGAACTTCAGCGTTCCTCTCTTGCTTCATCTCGTCCAACTCTGCTTTCAGTTTGGCACACTTCTCTTCACATTCATTCCGAGGCATGGCATTACTGGGGTACCCATGTAATGTAGTCGGTCTATTCATTGATGAAGAAGAATGAGCTTGGTTTTCCAACTTCAGGGCAGCAATGGTGCTCGACATTTCTTCTACCTCAGCGTAACGCTCATTGGCCAATTGATGCATCTCGGTCAAATGGCTTTCAGGAATGGAATAGTCAGTCGCACCTTTGATCACGAGTCTTCTGTCGTTCAACATCTTGATGGACTTACCTGCATCCCTGTGAGCACGCTCAAGAGAGTCCTTTTGGGCTTCAAGTTCAGTATGAAGGCGAGCAATAGCTGTATCCCTGTCATTGAGTTCATTGTGCAAACTGTCAAACAAGGTACTCGTCACATTCGGATTGTTGCTCATGTGATCGATCTTGTTCAGAGCATCTTGATATTTCTTACCAGTTTCATCAAAGTTTCGCTGGAAGACTTTGAGCAGGTCCTCAGTGTCAATGAGTTCAGATCTATTCTGCAAGTACAACTTGTCAACTTCGGCCTTGGATTCTTTCAAGCTGTCACGTTCACGCACGGCTTGCATGTACATCTCGTATAGAGGTCCTCCATGCGGTGATCTGCTTGGTGAAGATCTTCTGGCTTGTTGACAGGAAAGTTCATGATACTGATTCTT